TGTTATTTTGTTCTTTCTACTTTTTGCATGCCTGGCTCAAAAGTTAACACTGAATAGGTTTGCCACTCTATTCATGTATGGTCTACTGTTACTTGCTTAGTACAGACATCATGACTAACAATGAAACCTAAGGGCTTGGAAAACAGGAATGCACACTAACTCTTTGGAAATTTGAAATGAAATACTTTATCATAAATTTGTTGTGTAGGTAGAAATGTTTCTGAAATGTATGTAAAATCAGTATTTCAAAAATTATATATGAAATAATAAAACAGCAGCAGCTGGATTTATATACTGCATGGCAATTTTTAGGTATTTGAGACAGTAAATAGAAGTTGTGAAAAGGAACAGTTTTTGGCTAAGATTATTCCTTCCAAGCTTTTTGAAGCTAGATGGCTTTATCAGCTCTATGTGGCAAGGTGGAGAGAAACACTACTAGGTAGCTAGAATTAAAATCCCTTCGTTATTGTGAGAAATTCAGCCCTCTATCAGCTCAGTACGTGGGAGAGAAACAGGATGGTAAAAACAGCAACCTCCCAGAATGCTTTTTCTTCTGTGGATGTTCACATATGTAAAGTATGGTGTATTTTGCCACAAATCAGCTGCCAGTTAGGTTTGAAGAAATCACAGTGCCATTGCTATAGAAACCTGCACTTGATTAGATGTCATAACTCTGTTTGATTCACACTGATGTGCTCTAGGTTCCTACTGTGAAATGAAGACAGTATTTCTTTTATGTAGAGAAAGAATATAAATTCCGCTGCTTTACAGCTTACCGAATGTCTTTGATGCAGAATTTAATCAAGGTGGGTTACAGCAAACCAGCAAGCATGGTGTTGCAGCTCTGTTGTAAGCTACAAGTTTAATACATTTGTGGTAAAAGTTTTATGGTGTTTTAATTTAGAGAAAAACTGTATTACAGAGTTTATCCTTCCCATTGGGAAATGTGTTCTCATATACAAAAAATAATTCCGTATATTTAAATGGAGGCATCTTTGGCTGGGTCCAAATAAAACTGAGCTTGATTAGCAAAAATCTCGATGTTTATTAGACTTTTTCAGTTCACACTTTAATATCACAAATGTATGGTGCATTAAATTTGCTTATCCAACCATCTTTCTGGAAGGGCTTCTATTTTTTTAAGAGCTTGGTGCATCCAATAGACGAGGATATGGAGTCCTTGGTGATCGCTGAGTTTGGTTGTTTGCTTGCACAAATTTCATTACCCAATAGGTAATATCAATGCACTGATCAGTGCAGCAGCCACTATTTGAATAATGAAATGTCTAAGCTAATAACCAAGTTCAGAGAACACCAAAGACTCCCACAGCTTAGTGTATATTGGCTATAGTAGGTGTTTCACTGTTGGCAAGTCAGATTTTGACAGCAAAGCATACCTAAACTGAGGACATCAAAGTGGAATTGTGTAAACATGGTGTATATGTTGTGACTAGCCATTAGTTATGTCTAATGGCTCAGTTACGCAGCATTTAGTTATTTAATTGATAGATCTACTACTTTTATTATTGTTTCTTGGAAGTTTAATATGCTTAAAGATTATATGCATTATCTTTTAAGTCCTTTATTTTGAAATAGAAGCAGATTATACTGCCAAACAACGACAGTGCAGGTGAGTATTAGCAACATCATGTACAGTTAGTCCGTTAGTATTATTATGCGTAAGCCAGTTAACACTTTCCATGGCCAAATTTTTCTCACTTCATACCCTGCACTTTAAGTATTTTTTCTTCAGAATGATGGTGCATTTCCATCAAGCCAACCTATAGTTCTTTAAATGACTCCCTGTTGAGGATCCGTCTTCACTCTTCACTGCTCTAAATGGAAGCAAGTTGCCAGTGAAAGCTGAACATTAACTCGGAGATGAAAATGATAAGCTATCTTTATCTTACATTCGGCTGTATTTCTGATTTCTCTCAGTATCAGAAGAGTGCATAATAAATTTTTGTCATGACACCACCATCACCACCTATGCCTTTTGGGAAATCGCAGCTAACTCCAAAGGGAAGACACTTAGGAGATTCCTCCAGTTTTAATATTATTAGATGAAGAGCTTGTAATTGTTGTAAGAATTATTAACAGATGGAATAACTGGAAAGATAGGGGGAGTTTCTTTTTATTTACGGCTATAAAAGGCTAACTAAACTAGCAACCTAAGTACATTATGGAGTTTAATACATAAACTACAGGTAGATGCCAATTAGTACTAATAATGAATCCCATGAAATGATCATATTATTTGAATTTGCACAATTCAGACTGATATTTCTATGGAAAATAAGATAATAAGTCCCAGCTTGATGGAAATAGGCAATGAAAATTTTTAAACATAATTTTTATATGTCTATGAATGAAATATAACAGTAAAAAATTAAAAAAACATATTTACAACTTAAATGTATTTTTGCAAAGTCACAGAGTAGTTATAGAAAGCAAAATAAAACAAAAAAAATTCTAAATGTAATTTCTAAAGAATAAGCCTACACTGACAAAAATATCTTTGACATATAACCAGGAAGTTGTAGCAACATTGTTACTAATACCACCTTTCAGTCATTTTTTGTGTGGTTTTAGCATTTTTATTGCTTTCTAATGGATTATAGATCTCATAAATATTTAAAAATATATACATCAAGCAAACAAAGGACATGCTGGAAGATAAACCCATATCTCCTGTACTGCTGTAGTTCTTCAAAATGAATCTCATCTTTTCTGAGCTTTCTCCAGCAGAATCTTCCTTTTCTCCATTTTGCTCAAACCATGATTAGCTTTTAAAACAGAAGTCCGCAACCTTTCTGTCTCTGTGGCCTGGGGGCTGTCAAATGGAGCTTTGTGCCCTTGCCCACTGCTTGCACGGCCCAGTTCCCAGTGGGCTGTAGACCGGTATTGGTCCGTGGACCAGAGTTGGGGACTCCTGCTCTACCAGGTCTGGGACAACTCACTGCTGGACAACTCACCATGGCACAATTCAATCTTGTATTGTTTCATCCAGTTACTTTTATTATTGATGACCACGTTTTTGTCAAAACTATTGTAACTCTTGCATTTCTGAATTGACTTTATTTTATTATTATTGCCAAGGTTCCATGAAAATTAATTTAGCTTTTGTATTTGTTGAATTGTCCGATGGCAAGTTGTCTCGCAGCGAGTTGGCCATGGCAAGTTGTGCCATTCTGGCCTCTAAAACCTCAATGACAATCACAGATTTGCTAGCCTCAACTGTGGGCATGCTAGCCTTGCATTAACTGAATTTTGGTTGGCATTATACAGTAGGTTTTTTTACTATCTTGCCTAAGATAAAGTTCCTGGAAACTTAAAAGTTTGCAAATATTTCATGAACATTGCTAACTAAATAAAAGTGTTGTCTGTGTGGATTTTGGATTAGATAATGGATGTTTTAATAATCCTGATCCACCTTGCAAGTTCATACTAGTTGCTGAAGTAATTAGCTTGTCTGCTTTGAATGTTCAAGCTGTTAGGATAGTAAATGTTATAATCATAATTACCAGAATAGCTATATTTTACCATTTGGAATTTTTGCTCTGTGGGTGCTATTAGCTCTTGATTTTCTTTTTGTAGCAACAATATCCTCTAAGCACTAAGGCAGTGTTTCTCAACCTTGACAATTTTAAGGCATGTGGACTTCAACTCCCAGAATTCCACAGCCAGCAACGCTGGCTGTGGAATTCTGGGAGTTGAAGTCCACATGCCTTAAAATTGTCAAGGTTGAGAAACACTGCACTAAGGAATGGAAAACTTTGTAGAGGTTTTTTCTTTGCTGTCTTTTCTAGAGTGGCCGCATGAGGAATCAATATTGGTCATATGATCGCTTTGTTAGTGAGATTGGGGGCATATAAATTTAATAAATAAATAATAAAAATATTCATGTGGCTGCACAGTCTTTACAGAACTACTGCAAAGAAGCAGAGTCCACACTCTTGTGAAGATGTGGGGTATTTTTGCTGTGAAATGCCTTTTTTTGAAAGCCAAGAATCCTGACTATCACTTACAGATTCAAAACTAAATAAATCACTACTTCACCATTAATAAGACTACAAGTAGTCTTCATTTAGTGACCACAATTGGGTTTGGCAACTCAGACATTAAACAAAGTGATCCTTAAGTGAAACTGTGACTGTGCACTCGTGATCTTACTTCAACTTGGAGGAGGTGTGTGTGTGTTATTGTTTTTTTTATTATTTTTCTACTGTGTTTTTATTGTTTGTAAGCTACCTAGAGTTGCTGTGAGCAAGTAGGCAGCAATATAAATTTTCTAAATAAATAAACAAACTTTTATTTGCTTTACAGACCTATGAAAGTTGTAAATGCAGGGTTTGTCATAAAGGTACTTTTTCATCATCGTTGTAACTGGAAAAAATTGCCAAGCAAGGCAATCAGTAAACAAGGAGTATCTGTATCCCATTTTTGTCAGATATTTTGTAAAAAATATAGATGAAGATTTGTTAAAATAGAAATCTTAGATAATACTGAACTAGATCAGTGATGGCGAACCTTTTAGAGATCGAGTGCCCAAACTGCGACCCAAAATCCACTTATGCATTGTCGGGTGCCGGGTAGGTGTGGCCCATTAGGTGGGTGTGGCCCATTGGGTGGGTGTAGCCCATTGGGTGGGCGTGGCTGTGGTAACAGCAGACTGGGTGGGACTAAAAAGTTCAATCAATCAATTCCAACTTTGCAAGATCTTTTTTTTCCAGGAGAAGTTGAAATTGACTGATTGATTGAACCTTTTTTTTTTTGCACACGGCGGCGGAGGCCTAAAGCGAAAAGGTTTTATAAAACCCAGCTGAAGGCCTAGGACTGGGGCAACGGCGCGTGTGCCCACAGAGAGGGCCTCGAGTGCCGCCTCTGGCACCCGTGCCATACGTTCGCCACCACTGAACTAGATGATCCAGTGATCAGACTAAATATAGGGCCACTAACAACCTCTCTTTTAATGCTTAATGTTTTATTTTTATGTATAGGCCTACAAGATTAAATGGGTCCAGTAACAGGAATGACTCCGGATAAGAAAGCTGAAACACCAGTAGAAAAAGCGGCAGGTCTAAGGCATATCCAAAGAATGGGAAGCTTGCCGGAGGCAGGTGATGCTGCTCGACCAAAGGCCACAGCTGTGGATAGTGAAGTAGCGGACGATGAGCTCACCAATTTGAACTGGCTGCATGAAAATAGTAATCTCCTAACGAACTTCAGCCTGGGAAGTGAAGGTCTTCCAGTTGTTAGTCCTCTGTATGATATTGAGGGGGATAATGTGCCAACATATCCATCCTCCTGCTATTCTAATCCGAAGAAGAAATCTGCCACATCTAAGCCCCCATATTCTTTCAGCCTTCTTATATACATGGCAATTGAACATTCTCCTAATAAAAGCTTGCCAGTGAAAGAAATTTACAGCTGGATTCTGGAACGCTTCCCATACTTTGCTACGGCTCCTACTGGCTGGAAGAACTCCGTCCGGCATAATCTTTCTCTGAATAAATGTTTCCGAAAGGTGGAGAGAAGCCATGGCAAGGTGAGATTAGAGTTGTTTACATGTGTTTTTTTAATTACTGTAAACCTATTTTCCTTATTGGAACCCTTGATTCAAATGTTTAGTAGAACATAAACAAATATGACATGTTTGAGGTCTTTGTTACCTTATGCTGGTTTTACTAAACCAGGTGCCTTCCAGATATGTTGGGACTTCAAATTATGTTGATTAGATAGTCTAATCATTATAGCGTCAATGCATCTGAGAAAGACCTAATTGAGGAAACTGCTCCTTGTAAACATAAGGCTGTTACATTCTGTTTTGACAGCCTGATATCTTTTAATCATCACGTGCAACCTATGTGGTTCAGAAGTTAGTGTGTTGGTCAGTTCTAAGGTGTAAAAGCTCAGTGGGTGAGTATGTATTTACAGATGGTTGTTATACTGCCCCAATTAAAAAAAACACCAATTGGTAAGAGAGTAACTTTAGAGCAATGTCTGTCTCTCAGTTCAGTCTATGTCAGGGGTGTCAAACTCAATTTCATTGAGGGCCGCATCAGCATTGCGGTTGCCCTTGGGGGGGGCGGGTGGGTGTGGCCAGGGTGGGTGCAGCCTACTGGGTGGGCGTGGATGGGGTGGGTGTGGCCTACTGGGTGGGCATGGCCAGCTCTACATCGTTCGCGTCAAGGGTGCCTGTGGGAGCCTGGGCAAGAGTGGGACAGATCTGAGGGTCTTTGGCAGAAGGGGGTGGGACCAGGGCAAGCGCCAAGTCATGGTGCATTTCTTCATTCCTCACAAAGGGTGACACCTCCCCAGCATGGGCCCAGGGGGCGGGACCAACGCAGCAGGTGCTGGTTCCTCACTGTTTCTGGACGGCCTTGTGGAGCTAAGACTGAATGCATTTCAGCATAGATGGCCACCACAAAATTGTACATTGGCTCCCGGCCGGCTGGGCCAGGGCCAAGGCAGCAGGGGCCGTTCCCTCACTGTTTCCAGGATGGCTTCGCAGGCCCCATGAAACCACTTTGCGGGCCGCATCCGGCCCCCAGGCCTTGTGTTTGACATGTCTGGTCTACGTCATAAGGTGATTGTTGTTTGGGGGGCTGAAATGGAAGGATGGAATGTTGTGTATATTCCCTTGAATTCCTGATAGAGTTCAAATGATAAATATTTGTACCCACAAAAGCTGTGGTAACAAGTGACATTTGCATGAATTGAACAGCTGGAAATGAGATTATGCCTTTCAGTTCCATCCTCAGTTTCACTACCAGTTTCTCTCCCACTTCTATACCTATGAAGCTACCTTCTCCCCAGGCAGCCATTGTTCCACCCAGCTCAGTACTGTTAATGCTAAATGTTAGAAGTTTTCCAGGATTTGTGGTACAAGTTTTTCCCAATCAGTAAGAACTTAAACTGGTATGTCAGGAATTACTGGTTCTCAGGCTAGACCAGTGATGGCAAACCTTTTAGAGACCGAGTGCCCAAACTGCAACCCAAAACCCACTTATGCATCATCAGGTGCCGGCTGGGTGTGGCCCATTGGGTGGGCGTGGCTGTGGTGGTAACGGCAGACTGGGTGGGACTAAAAAGTTCAGTCAATCAATTCCAACTTTGCAAGATCTTTTTTTCCCCGCGAGAAGTTGAAATTGACTGACTGAACCTTTTTGTTTTTGCACATGGTGGCGGAGGCCTAAAGCAAAAAGGTTTTATAAAATCCAGCTGAAGGCCTAGGACTGGGGCGACAGCGCACATGCCCACAAAGAGGATTCTGAGTGCCGCCTCTGGCACCCGTGCCATAGGTTCGCCACCACTGGGCTAGACAGAACTGTTGTGTAAGCATTGATCAGGTGCCTCCAAGCCTCAGCATGGCCAGATTTCCACTGATTGAAAAAAATCTAAACAAAAGTCTTAAAATTTAAACCCTGGATCATATATTTAGATAGACAACTTGATACCTGCAGCTGGCAGATCTTCTCCATATATATAGTTTCTATCTCATTTGTGGCAAGGTAGCAGATTGGACAGTGTTAACACCTGTGATGTGATTAGTTACTAGTTTGCTTCTGGGTCCAATTCAAGATACTGGAGGCCAACTTTTAAGTTCTGCATGGCTCAGTGTCATGTAGATAAGACTATCTTTTCTATCTTTATTTGATTGAACCCCATCCATTAAGCCACCTGTGAAAATCAGTCACATGACAAATATCCAGTGTGTTGTGATAGATGTTTTTGACTGTGAAAGATTTAGAATAGAAAGGCAGAGCCATAATTGGACAGGGTGTTGTATTTATTTATTTATGATGGACATATGTTTTGTATAGTTCAGATTAAAAGGAATAATTTTAAATATACATCATCATTTTGGATGATCTGTTTTCCTTCGGATGCTAATATCATGGAGAAATATTGCAAGGTTGTCATCAACATGAAGGTTTAAAACAACATAAAATCTAGTATGTTGCCTATAATTTAAAAAGTAATAATGCCCTTGTATTGAGGTAACGAGTTGATTGGCATTGCAGGTTCAAATCCAGTCTTAGCAACGGAAATTCACAGGTGACTTTGGGTTTGAGGAAGAAGCATCATGTATCTCAACTTGAGCTCTCAAAAGAAAGGTATATGAATCTATATAGTTTTCTCGGCAACAGTAATTAGTTGTGGAGATTACCTGCATTACGAGCCAGCAAATTTGGGATGACATAGCTGAATATACCTTCCTTTGTACTCAACAGAATGGGGTTCTGTCTCTTAGAATGAAAATTTAAAAACAAGCCTGAATACTTCTGCATCTTGGATGTAGTCGAAGAGCATTGAAGACATAAAGGCTGGGTTCACATAATGTGCTAGATTTGTTCACACAAAGGGCTAAACTACCTGTAATTCTTGAGTTACGACAGTTCACTTAGCAACTATTCGAAGTTGCGACACACCCCCCCCCTCCAAAATACAACACAGTCACAAGGTTATGAATGTTGTAGCACAACATTCACCCTGCTTATTCCTACCCCGCTGAGTCTCCACAAGCACTGGGCCTGTGACCCAGCACAGCAGGATGGGGGGGGGGGGAATTGTGGGGAGCATAAGGTATCTCAGTGGATTGGAGGAGGCCTTGGGTGGTCTTAAGTAGGTGGCCTGTTCCATCACTAGACCCCCCCCATGGCCTCCCCCCCAAGATACCTCATGTGCACTTAACAACCTGCGCAACCAATTAGCGAATGCGTGGGCAAAAGGAGGGAGTTTTCATGTTCATTTTATATGATTCACTCCAACGACTCCTCAGTTTATGAATGTAATTGGCAGGCTCCATTATATTTGTAACTCAAGGACTACCTGTATTGTTTGGTAATTCACAGTTTACTGTTTTGGGAATTCAGTCATTGCCTTAATACATTGTGGAAGCCAATTCATCATGTTAAGCCATAATATATTTGGGGGTAATTATGTTTATAGGCATTATGTTCTTAAGGTTAAGTTGCGAATTTTGCAGTTGTGTACTGAGTCAAGCCAACTTCTGTTTTGTTTTGCTTATACCAAATGGACCATTTCTAAATTTTCCGAACAACTTTCTTTCTGCACACAACCCACTAAGCTAAAACCAACCACATTACAACAATGTGAGTTGTGAATCCAGTGTGTTTATAGTAATTGAATTACATTGGCAGCTCAGAATCAAGATGTTTCGCTTGTACAAAGCAAGGGTATAATTAAAGAAAAAAGTATTCAGGTGTTTACTCATCTTTGGAGTTGAAGAATTGTACCCACCCTTCCCCATTTGCAATTTCAGTGTTGGGAGGAAGGCCTAGGCTTCTTTCACTCAGCATAAGGTGGAAAAAAAGCTTTGTGACTGAATTTGCCTGTAAGTAGGGTGTGGCAGGCCATTGTGAACTCTTTCAGATAAGACTTAAAAGTGCAGAGTGGGGCAGAGAACTGTTCCTGGGAACGCATAGCTAACCTTAAGGTCTGACAGGTCTGAATGCTTAAAAAGTCATGCTGGAAAAATAATTTGCAAGAACATTTTATATTTTTCTGAGAACAGGAAAAGAGTCATTGTTTTTCTTCTTGATTCCAGAAATACAATAATAGGGCTGGATATAAGCCAAGCATGCAATGACCGGTAGAGTATAATATAAATGCTTACATCTCCAACAGTACTTCTTTGAATAACACGCCAGGATGGTTTCCCAAAAAGTAATGAATGAGGCCAGGTTAAAAACTAAAATTGATTTTCTGTATCTTACATTTCATTTTAATTAAAATAAAATTAATAAGATTAATGTCCAATCATATACGCCATGTAGTATTTTCCCTAGTGTATTGGAAATGACAATTTAATAGTAACTTCTCAAGGTCTCTTTAAACTATATCCAAGGAATTCAAGAATTGCATGTAACTGCACATTTTTGAGCTAAACTCTAACAGTGTGGTTAATGTATTTTTTATTCCCTCATAACCTAATTTTTCTAATACTTTAGTTGGTGAAGAAATTTTAAAAACTGCTGAAAGCTTGTCTGCTTTTGAGATTTTTAAGTTAACTAAATGTGTTGGATTTGTTCTTATAACTATCTTGGTATATTTTACAATGCTTGTGATAGCTAATAAGAAATGTGGATTAATTTTGGTAAAGAGGGATTTCCGAAGTGAAACTAGATGGCATCATTCGCTGGGCTACAAGAATCAAGCAATAATCAGTATAGTGGGTTGTCATTGGTTTTTTTTGCTATTGCTTAACACTTGATTTAATGACTCATAAACTACATCTGACTAAACTAGGGATGGGTGGGAAATCAATTAACTTCTCATTTTATTGCAAATTTACAAAATGTGCATTCTTTAAACCAATGCACAAAACAAAGTATACTAAACTGACAATCGTGAAACACATTGTGATGTTATTTATGAGCAGTGAGCCCCAAAACATAATCATTTGTGGGAAATAAGGATAAATATTTACATATTGATGGAAGTAGCATGTAATCATGAAATTACAAATTGTACAGTTTGATATGTTAGAAAAAGCCAGTATAAAAATAAATGCATTTAAGA